TCGTACAAGATCTCGTGCGGGTAAGTTTTCGTTTGCTTCCTCGGGAGTTCCCCTTTAAGAAACCCAACTTTGCAAGACCAGGCCTCGATAACTTTGTAACCGATCTTACGCAGAAATGCGGTACGGTTCACGGTGGCTTGGTACAGTTCGGCTGTTTTACCGTTTGTTATGACCTCCTGTCGGTCTGGATAACATTTTGGGCATCCGTGGAAGGGGCAGCCGTGGTATTGCCATACCGTCCTCGTTTTGTGGTGGTACCCGTCGACAGGAGAAGACTTCATTTTCTCGCCTTCTCGAGGGAGCCATCTCTCGCCCCCGTGCCTGTACATCGCGTGGTGGATGTGAATCCTCCGTCTCTTCGCTTCACGCTTCAGCCACAGAATCGCTTGTTTCGATGCTGAGCCTTTTGGGTACATCACTTTCTCGAAAGCTGTCTGTGGCGCTTCAACTTTTGTCCCCGGGCAAAAGATTGCCGTTTTTCGCGCCTTGCAGGTCTCATGATGGCGCTTCAGATTGCAAGCTTGTGTGAATCTCTGCCCGCAATGGGTGCATGCATAGGTTTTTGCCAGCTTCGCGATGTCTTTTATCAAGAAAGCGTGGNGCATCGCTTGTTTCGATGCTGAGCCTTTTGGGTACATCACTTTCTCGAAAGCTGTCTGTGGCGCTTCAACTTTTGTCCCCGGGCAAAAGATTGCCGTTTTGCCCGCCTTGCAGGTCTCATGATGGCGCTTGAGATTGCAAGCTTGTGTGAATCTCTGCCCTCAATGGGTGCATGCATAGGTTTTTGCCAGCTTCGCGATGTCTTTTATCAAGAAAGCGTGGCCTTCGTAGACACCTATCGTCAAAACGTTTTTGAGTTTGGGATTCGGGATTTTTCTGAGATACCATACCACTTCACCGTGATCCAAACGCTGAGGCTCGTAGACACGAATTCGGAGCCAAGATGAGACGGGCGAGCCCTTATTCAGATGGGCTTCCACCTTGTCGAGCTCATCCAGAGACGTTTTTCTGAAATTCGGTGGAATGGCTTTGAGTTTGTAGAAACCCTGGGCCAGTCTTCTAGCTTCTTTTGTACAACGATCTGTGCGCGCCCCTCGGTGCACAGCGAGGCATCGC